TTTTGTTTTTAAGCCATTTGGGAAAACCGGGACGTGGCGAGAGATGCGATTTGAAATATGTGGTGACAGGGAAGAAGAGTAGTTCTGGCTGATTGACCCAGCGTTCCCCCCACAGGGCAGTTTTTACACTGTGGGTTTAGCCTCACTGACGCCCCCTGGCATTTACGTGCTTACCTCACAAATTCTCTGAATCCAGGAAGTCTGTGAATGGAAAAATTGCTTCCTTCAATTGACAGAGGAAGAAACGAGCCGCGATCACCCCTACAAATATGGGAGGGAATTTGAACTCGCAACCCACAGTCACCAAGTTTTGAACCTTTACTGCAGACCACAGGGACCAAATAGACAACTCGAAAGGAAGGACTTTGAGAAAGGATGATTTTTACGGTAAAATACATTGTTTTGTCATATGAGGGAGAGCACTGAGCCCCAAATGAGTTAGAAAACCAAAAACCTAACATGCCAAAAGGACACATCTTAAACCTAAGCCTAGATGCTATGAGATTTTCATTGCACACCTTCTCCTTGTCCATATGTCTGCTAACAAATGTTCTGCCATGGGTGACCCTACAGTGGGCACCGAGCCAGGGTTTGCCCCACGTGGAAGGGCCAGTGGGCCTGTGTCATCTAAAGGCCACCCAGCTGAAGGACTGATAATGCCCCACTCCCTTCCCACACCTTGAGAGTCAATTTCCTGGGACTGCACCCAAGGTTTGGCAGTCTTGTGGGGTGACTTGGCTTGGGGAAATGAGGCTGGGGCGACTTGTGGACGTGATACAACTTCATCATACATACAGTAATGCGACCTGTGGAAGTCTAGGCAGGAGCGTGGAACTGGTGGCGTCATCGGCTCGGCACTAAAAGTATGACATGATCTATGTCACTTGCATGGACTTCACTAAAGGACTACCCTTAATTCCTGAGATTCCAGGCTGAGAGTAAATCATACTTTTTGCCGGTAAATACAGGCGCCACCTACTGGTGCGCTCCCCATTCTCCTGTCTCTGACTCTTCTCCCTGCATTCGCTCAAAGCTTTTAAAACTAGGCATCAAGCTTGGTTTCTTCACTGTTCTGAGGGCTGTCTCTTTGCTCTGTTGCTTCCTTTGTGGTGTAGAAGCATTTGAATTTCATTCAATCTTGCTTGTCAGTTCTTACACTAATTTCCCATGGGCTTAAGGACTCTGTTCAGAAAATCCTTCCCTATTCCTCTATCGTGAAGGGGTTTTCCTGTTTTCCTCTGACAGTGTAAGGTCTGTGCATCTTACATTTAGGGCTTTGCTACATTTTGAACTGATTTGGGGGTAGGGTGAAAGACAGAGATCAAGTCTAATTCCTCCACATGTAGACTCCATTTTTCCCAGCACCATGAGCTGGAGGCCATCTTTTCTCCAACGTGTGCTCCGGTGGGACAACTGTAGCTGCTGGGGCATGGATTCGTTTCTGAGATTTCTGTGCCTTTGATTTACATCTTTTTGTGGCAACTTCAGGCTGTTTTTCTTCCTGTGGCTCTGTGGTACTTAGAATCATGTGTTGTGATGCCTCCTGCATTACCTTTTTATTCAGGATTGCTTTGACTACCCAGCATCTTTTGAAATTTAGGTTGTTAATGGCTAGGATGTTGAAAGAATGCAAAAAATTAAAGCACCCAAGAAACCAATCCAGTCAACAAGTGGGCAAACAGACAGACACCACTCAGAAGGTAAAGTACAAACTTCCTTGCTGTTACCATGATAAACACCGTAATGAGAAACAGCTTAGGAAGAAAATATATTTCAGCTTACAGCTTCCACATCATGAAGAGAGGTCCGGCAGGAGCTGATGCAGAGGCCATGGAGGAGTGCTGCTTACTGACTTGCTTCTCATGCTTCTCATGATGATGAGTACAATCATCCATCAAGAAAAATGCCCCCACAGACTTACCTACAAGCCAATCTGATGGAGGCATTTCTTCAATTGAGGTTCCCTTCTACCAGATGATGCTAGATTGTGTCAGGTTGACAAAAAAAAAATGAAAAATAAAAAATAAAAAAAAACTAACCAGCACATACACTGATAAAAGGTCCAAAGGAGGTTTGAAATTACTTCAAATAAATGAAAATGTATTTATATGATGTAAACAATGCCTACTCATCCCACGTTCCCTGGTCCTCCATAGCCTTTTGCCTAAAATGTAGGAGACAGAGGGAGACTGTTGTCCCCAACAGACAACAAACCCAGTGCAGAACAAGAATTGTAAGAATGCGCCTAGCACACAGGGCATCAACAACAAGCAAAAACCAATCCTTTCTAAAGGGAAACAATGACCATGAGCCTCCACTTTGCTGGGAATAAATCCTCAAGTCCTCCTGACACACTGACCTGGTTATTGCAGTCTCTTAGGCCCTTGTGCAGAGTTCTAACCAGCAAGCTCACCAAGGTTGGCGCTAAGTCCTCGAAGCCTTCTCTCTCCTTTCTGGTTTCTCAGAATCTACAGCCTTCTGCCTGTGATGACTTCACGGGGTGTCGTAACAGGTAGCTCTTTGTTGGTACATCTCTAAAGTTTTAAGCGATTTTTATGCACAAAGGAGTTTTTCCTTCATGTTGAGGGGAATACTTGACTCTTCAAACTAATCATGAATGACTTCTAAAAAAGTCGGAAAATGTAACCAGTCCTTCCAGGTGGCGTTAGCTGTTTCACTGTTCCCTCAAAAGCATGGGCCTGTCTCTTTTGTCCAATTCCCTGTTTGTTTCTTCGGAAAACAGAGTGAGCCCTCTCCTTTCTTCCTCCTGTGTCTGCACATATAATAGTCCATTAGGAGTGGCTGTGTTATTTCATCTGGCCATTGCTATTTCATTGGTAAATGAAAAAAAAAAAAAGAAAGAATTGTATGCCCTGGCAATGCTGAAGCATGCACAGGCAGCCATATATGACTGACCAGATCTCGTTACAGATGGCTGTGAGCCTCCATGTGGTTGCAGGGAATTGAACTCAGGACCTTCGGAAGAGCAGGCAGTGCTCTCACCCGTTGAACCATCTCTCCAGCCCCAGTCACTGGTAAACGGACTCACAGAAATGTTCCAGAGTACACAGAGCATCCTGGTTCGTACTCGGGCTCTGCTGGTCCATGGTTTCACCTTCGACTTTTATGAACTGTCTAGAGTAAACAGCAGGCCCTCGCTATTCCCAAATGTGGCATCCCCAGTCCTGCATCTCCCTCATTACTTAACTAACCATGAACTAAAAACATTCATTAAAAAAAAGTCTATCAAACAAGTACAGAATTTTCCCCCATCATCCTTCATGGAACAGTATACTATGGGGAACTATCATACATTGAGAAGATATTACAGGGGATCTAGAGAGAATTTAAGGTAGGTGGGGACCAAAAGACTGTAGCATCTTCAGGGCTCGCTATCCACAGGAAGGTCCTACACCCTTTGGAACCTCTTTATAAGATATTGTCTATTGAAAATCACCAAGAATCCTCTCTGGGTGGAAAATCCAAAGTCATGTCTGTGCTTCCTGATCCCCTCTGCCCAAAGGTAAGCAGACAAAAGGAAGCCTGACACCAGACCCAGCCACCCATGGCTGACGAGTCCTCCCATCTCTGTCCCGATTGAAAATTCAATCAGAAACACATGGAGACCACAATCAAATAAGAACAGGCATTTGACCCCAAGGTCAGCAGAATCCAGCCTTATTTACATTGATTTACTTTGGTGTTCTCTAACCTCTCCGCCTTTGTTTCTTCTTTCCAAATATTAAAAAAAAAAAAAGTACAGGCCCTGGTGAACACTGCCCTTTTCTGGCCACTCCCAGCACACGCCCTCAGCACTGAAGTTTTCTCCTGGTAATATGTCTGTAAATATTTGTCAGTAAATATCTGTAAGTGATCAGCGCATGTTGTATTCATTAGCTTTCAAGAGCAGGAATTGGGCCTTTAGTTTTCTTCCAGCGCCTGGATGAGTCAATAAATCATGTTGTCTGACTGAGATCTTCAGAGGTCTGTAGCGCAGCTAAACCGATCAACATGGATTTCTCTGAAGAGCCGAACTGTTACTCTCTTGGGCATGTTTCGGACATTTTTTCTAGTGTTCCAGAACATTAGTGTATGAATCAGTGAGTGACAAAATGACTCTAATAAAATGAGAAAAATTAGAACAACTTTGGTGAATTTTTTATATAAAATTAGATGTACTGAATCTTAAGAATTAGGTGTAGTCTTGAGACTGTGTCTTTCCTACTTTTTTCTGGAAGAAAAAAAAACAGTGATAACTAGTTATAATGTGAATATCCCTTTTTGAAAAAAAAAAAACAAAAACCAAAACCAGAAGTAGACTGCCAACATGAGCTCACAGTTCTTCTCATGTTACTTGCTTACGCAATCCAAAAGGCCAAGGACTACTCTCGGAGGCTCTCTCATTCTGTATCCCCAGCATGCTTTGAAGTCGCCCCTGATCCTCTCTGTCTTTACCTCGCAAGTGTTGGGATTATGAGTGTACCCTACCACATCTGCTTTATGAGGTATCTGAGAGCTAGCCCAGGG